GGTGAGACTAAGGAATTGCTTCTTGAAATTCTGTTTCTAGAGTGAAACAGCATAACTATCAGATAATTACCTCAGTATTATCAATGGAAACTCTTTAGCAGAATTAAGAACTTATAAAATGACCTTATGTAAGTAGTACATATTGACACATTTATGAGTAACATGATACAATATGTGATTTGTTTTTTAATTCTTCAGAAAAAATTGGTGAGGGAGAGATGAAACAAGATTGGCAGAATGTTGTTAACTTTTGAAGTTGGGGAAAGGTTTATTTGGTTCTACTTTTAGATTAGTGATAGGATTTGGTTTTTTTTTTTTTTTTAAGTTTAAATGAGGAAGGAGAAAAAATTTTAATGTAGAAGTAAAATGAGCATCACATCTTCCAGGATATAGCAAAAGTAGTTTCTTTGTCTGTAGCCAGGGGTAGCGTTTCACGTGGCAGTGGTTGTAAAAGTTTAGGCCTTTAGGCTTTTCCATGGAACCCAGCAGTGAGTTCAGATCTTAGCACTGTGTTCTGGGAATTCAATGTATTTTCTCTAATGCAATTAGTTGTAATAGTATATATAGTTGGGCGTGGGGTTACCATGATTTCATCTTTTTTTTTGAAGTAAAATTACAAAAATCAGGAATAGGGTGGGTCACAAGGTGTTGCTTTTTCGTGATTTCCTCTCTTTTCTTTGGGGTAAAATTATGAACATCAGAATAGGATGGGTCACGGGGTATTGCTTTTCCATTGTAAAATTTAGTACTGCACTTCCCACTGGAGATTTATTTTGCCATGACAAAGATCCTTCTCTCTCTAATCCCCAGGGACTTCATAGCATCTGTGGGGTCTTTTGCCTAGCCACAGTAACCCCCAAATGAAAAGAGAAGTTGGAGATTGCTCCCTTTTGTAGCAATAGTGTTTCTGTTCTTTTGGCCTGAGAGCAGCAAGGAGTCACTTAGAGGCCTGGGTTGGAATGTAGCTTTCTTCCTGACATTTGAGTCTTTGTCAACTCCCCTGGACCATTAGTTGCACCAAAGTTAGTTCCATTCAGCAAAAATAAATTGTAAACTTGTTGACATTTTTGTCCTCTTAATAATTCATTGTTTATTTTTCTATGATGGAGAATTTTGATGCAATTATCACTGAGCTTTCTGACAAAAGAGAAATAGCTGAGGAATTTTGATGAGTTACCCACTTCATTAATCAGAACAAGCATCTCTAGTGACAGGGTTAGAATTACAATGAAGATTAGATAGCAAATTGCTGTTCTACCTAACGTCAATCATTCCTGGTGACAGTAGTATGATTGCACTTCAGGGAAGAGCTTTTCTTGCCAAAAGAATGAGGGCAACTCCAGTGCAGGTAATAAATTTAGCAGAGTGAGCTGTCATTTCTTCTCTTCAGCGGAATCCTTAACAACCAAATGATGTACTGTGGATATTTTGTGGGAAGGGGACACAGTTTCATTTTAAAACTTTCTAAATTTCACCAGGCAGTATTTTATTTTAGATATTGTTATAGATAGGTACTTAGGAATGGTTCTTCTACAGTGACTTTCTGGAATTTTATTTACCTATACCAAGCTTAATTATTACCACAACTATGATAAAGAAATGATGGAAATTAGCCTGTGTTTGAAAATCAGAAATAAAAACATGGTACAAAAATAAATGAACTAGGAAAAAAATGGAGGGAAATCAGACTAGTTACCTGGCTAGTTAGAACCTAAGTTCTTCTGGCTTAAATAGAACTTATGTATTCCTCTTCCAACCCAGTTGTGGTTTTAAAAAGCAAAGGGATAGAGCGCTATGGTAGTTCGAAAGTATAGAAAACTAACAAGGAGAAGCAGGCCTGGGAGGCAGCAGGAAGTAAGCTGGGGGCGGGGGGAGGAATAGAAAGAATAAATAGTTCAGGTCTGTGGAAGTGTGCCACCCTTCTAAATAAAAACAGAGCTAGCATCTTCTTCCAGAGAAGATGGAACTGAGAGTATATTCCTTTCCCATATATTTTCTTCCAAGCACATTTATGGGACTCCTGTTTACCTGGATCATGTTCGCTATGAATCAAGAATAATGAAGCAGCTATTCTTGATTGATACTTTTTTTTTTTAATTAAAATTTTAATGGGATTGCTTTTGTTGAGCAGGCAGGGAAAACAAAACAAGTCAATTTCAAGAAAGTAGTTGCTATAAGGGTCTGTCACTTTGCTCTTGTTAGCGTCTTTGTGGTGAAACTGAATTATAGGCCTTTAAAACTGATCATTTTGCTCTCAAAGTCTCAACATAAGTCTCTTTAAAGAAGCATATTGACTATAGAATTTATAAACTCAGGGCCGGGCATGGTGGCTCACTCCTGTAATCCCAGCACTTTGGGCGGATCACCAGGTCAGGAGATCAGGACCATCCTGGCCAACATGGAGAAACACCATCTCTATTAAAAATACAAAAAATTAGCTGGGTGCAGTGGCGGGCACCTGTATTCCCAGCTACTTGGGAGACAGAAGTAGGAGAATAGCTTGAACCAGGGAGTCGGAGGTTGCCATGAGCCGAGATCACGCCACTGAACTCCAGCCTGGTGACAGAGCAAAACTCTGTCTCAAAAAAAAAAAGAATTTATAAACTCAGAATTTCCCCTCCTACATTCAGATATGTTCCTAACCAATGTGGTTTTTTTGTTTATTTGTTTGTTTGTTTGTTTGTTTTCCACAGTACATTATGTATGTCATTTTCTTTTACTGTAAAAGCAGCAAAAAATGTGCCCCTCTTTTTTAGGAGAGATTTTTTTGCCTAATAGATTAGAATCATCAGGATGCTGGAATGTTTCCATTTCAGCCTTTGGTGTACCACTAACTTTTTAACTTGTGATTTTAGCATTAAACCTTTCTCTACTTGAAGTTTTAGCTTGGTGAAGTAAATCATAATAATAACTACAATCTTTACTTTATAATGATGGTTTAAAAATTAATAATAGCACATGTAAGATGCTTTGAACTTTACAAAGAAAAGGAATGTCAAAAGCAAAAGATACTATTAACAGTGTTGTTATTATCAAGATGGATGTTTGTACTATTTCATCGTTTGAAATAATCCTGGAGTTAAAATTAGAGATAGCTACACAGAGAATATTTTACCAGGTCATTTAAGAGGAATCTCTTAAAGAGATCTGGTAAACAGACACAAAACATTTTCTTTCGACCATGATACACAAGTTAACATCATTTCTTTTTTCTTGCTGTGTTTTGTGGAACAGGTAAACAAATGATGTAAAAGGCATATTCTTCAACCTGGCAGCTGTATCTCTTCTCCCTGTTATAACTGAAAGAGTATCTAGTATTCAGCAAATCTCCTTTCCTTCCTTTCTCCCTTCCTCCCTTTCATCCCTCTTTCCAAGAGCTCTAAGGTGAAGGTCTAGAAAATACGTCGTCGTTTTATGGAAAGGGCTTTTTAAAGCTTGCCATGGTTTATCCTAATGAGAAATTATAATGAAGAATATTGTTTAGTTTGTCTAAACAGGAATATAAACTAATACCCTCTTTAGAAAACATTTCTGGCCAAATGGGCTATTTCTAAGAATTCTAGTAGATGCTTTCTTATGTTGTTGGTCTTTTGATTGATATATCCTCCCTCCCTATAACCTCTGAAAAGTAGAGGTCGTATCTTAAACAATTTTGTGCAGAGTCCCCAAAGTGAAACACAGTGATGGTTGCTTAGTAAATGCTGAAATGATGAAAGTCAAGTATTTTTATAGGAATGAAGCAATAAATAGCAGTTAATATTTGCCTGATAAATCTGGCAAGTCTTTGAAACCAGTCATCAGGCATCCCCCATACTTCCCATGAAATCACTTTCTATGAGGTTAGTTTTTGTTTTAATGCTCCCCACACTCAGTGCCACTGTCAGATTTACTGTTCCCATTTATGGGTCCTATTCCCTTCTCTCAGGAGGCTCACAGACTAGGGGAAAACTGGTAAACTGGTGACGATGATACAGTGTGATGGGTGTTTTGACTGAAGAAAGCATAGATTGCTATAGGAACACAGTGGATGGGCAGTTACATTTGGGTAGAGGGATTGGTAATGGCTTGGCTTCCTGAGAGAGGTGACTCCTGAAGTAGTCCGGCAGAGAGAGGGAAGAAAACAGGAACACAGAAATTAGTATTACGTTGGTGCAAAAGTAATTGCAGGTTTTGGCTATGAAAAGCAGTGGCAAAAACCGCAATTACTTTTGCACGGACCTAATATGAATTAGGAAAGTATGAATTGGCAAGGTTGGTGTTAAGGCCAAAAGTAGAAAGTAATTTGACCTACAAGGAATGTAAAGTTTGCTGAAAAGAGAGAAGGTATAGGCAAGGACTAGGTCTCAGTGATTTTCTTAAACTAGGATCGTGAGTAAAGTACTACTCTGGGGACATCCGCGGGATCAGTAGACCTTGTCTAATTTGCTGTCAAATACATATAGTGGAAGATGATAGGCAGCCTGAACCGCTAGTGTATCTAGACTCGCCAAAGCCCTAAAGTGGTCCATGGTAGCCCAGCTGGTTTTGTTGTTTATAGCTGTCTAATTCTCAGGGACCAGAGACTCCATCCCGTCTTCCTGGAATCTCCCAGTTCACTTGTGTAGGACACTAGTGGTATCTGAAACGGTAAAGAATTAAATGGTTGGTATTTTGAGCTCCAAGACAGCCTGGCAGGGAGGGTCCCTTTGGAGCAGGTTTTCAAGCTTCTCAGGCCCCTTGGTTCATGTCTTAGATGTGACTTATTCCAGATATCCCCATGGGACTGGTGCCTTACAATGAGAATGAAGTATTTTAGTTTAAGTTGTGAGGATGCCTCAATTGCATGACTTGAATATTCCTTGTCTCTGTTAGCACAAAGGAATTGTGCTTTGTCTCTTCCCTTCCATTAAGACAACAGTTCCTAGATTTGTTTTAAATAAGTGTGAGGGAAAAATCTGAAGAGAGGGCTGTCAGTGACACAGTACTGATGGGTGGTGATTTTCCTAATGTTTCCACTGCAGTGTCAAAAACGGTATTTCTCTGCCTGGCACAAGCTGATTCTTGATGATAGGATTAAGCTAGGGAAAGCTGGGACCCTGTCTGACTGGAAGATTAATCTGAAGATCCTGCGGGCCTGGAGAGACTACACAAGATCCCAGAAGTTGGAGCGGGAGACTCAAGCCTTGGAAAATGATCTTAGGGAAGAAAACAGGTATCATTATTGTAAAAATCCTTCTACTATGTTTATCTAGGATCTTTTCCTCCTGAAGAAACCAGAAATAAAGTTTACAGATGCTGACTAGAATAATCTTACCCACTTATAAAATATGGTAATCATAGTTTTTCTATGTTACATCTCAAACTAGAAAATTTTAACTGAAAATTATAAGTAAACAAAGTGATTTAAATATACTAGCCGGGAGCAGTGGCATGTGCCCGTAATCCCAGCTACTCAGAAGGCTAAGGCAGGAGGATTACTTGAGCCTAGGAGTTTGAGACCAGCCTGGGGAATGTAGTGAGACCCTGTCTCCAAAAATATAAAATACAATATACATTATACATGATTTTCTTTCTTTAAGGGAAGCAAATATTAGGATTTCCCCTTGCTTTTTGGTGTAGTAGCATTGCACCTTGGACCACATTACAATTCAAAAGAGGGTGTTTGGCTTGTATGCCAATAATTCTCATTCATAGAAATCACTGTCTGTACATAAAATGTTAATTAAGGACACAGAGAACATCCATCTGGGAGGGCCAACCTGCCAAGAGTGATTCCTCCCACTCTGCCATCTTTTGTTCCACACCTTATTTAGAGGTTTTTTGACACCTTTATATCAGCTCCTTCTTATACTGTGAATGATACAAAATTCTGTCTTCAAATGAGGCTTTCTTTATTCCATCACATTAAAATCAAATAATTTTCTTATTATTTACAAGTTCAAGTTTGCATTCTTGAATCAAAATCTCAGATGTAAAACGAACCATTTGTTTTTGTTTTTATTTCTTCTTAAAAAAAAAAAACGTGGGCCGGGCGCAGGTGGCTCAAGCCTGTAATCCCAGCACTTTGGGAGGCCGAGGCGGGTGGATCACAAGGTCAAGAGATTGAGACCATCCTAGTCAACATGGTGAAACCCCGTCTCTACTAAAAATACTAAAAATTAGCTGGGCATGGTGGTGCGTGCCTGTAATCCCAGCTACTCAGGAGGCTGAGACAGGAGAATTGCCTGAACCCAGGAGGCGGAGGTTGCGGTGAGCCGAGATCACGCCATTGCACTCCAGCCTGGGTAACAAGAGAGAAACTCCGTCTCAAAAAAAAAAAAAAAAAAAAAACAACAACAACAAAAAACATGACGTATGTGCAGAACGTGCAGGTTATTACATAGGTATTCGTGTGCCATGGTGGTTTGCTGCACCTATTGACCCATCCTCTAAGTTCCCTCCCCTCACCCTCCACCTCCCAACAGGCCCTGGTGTGTGTTGCTCCCCTCTCTGTGTCCATGTGAAGGAACCATTTGTTTACTTGGGTGTTTGGGAGAAATTCATGTTTTTATGTGTAATCACTTCTCTACTGGCAATTCTGTCATTCATTCAGTATGAAAAATTACATAAATGATAAATGGAAGTATTGTTATGTAAAAGGGCATGGTTCCCCTTAAAGTGGTGCAATCCTGTAATAGCATCAGGTCCTGGAGACTGGTGCATGGCCCATTGTCCTCAAAGAACTCACAGTTGTATGGGCAAAACAAGATCTGGAGACTCTACAGGTATTGAGGAGTATTGTAAACTGAATAATACATCTCCATCTGCTGCTGAGAATATGGCAAGACTGTGTAGCTGTGGCTAAGGAGGTTCCTGAAGAGTGCCAGGAAAGGCTTTATCAAGAAGATGGGTCTTGATCTGAGCTCTTCACGGTAAATAGGATGTTCCCAGGTAGAGATGGGGAGACTGGGATGATGGCATGAAGTATAGCCATCTGGATTGGCTGGAGATTATCAAACGTGGTTGTCAGGTTCATCAACTTCTGAACAGCCTTGAATACCAGGACATGGAGTTAAGGTAGTCTTTGGTAAATGAAGGTGAATCCTTGAAGGTTTTTTAAGCAAGGGGGTGACCTAGTCAATTTCCTTTTCCTGTGATATGCTGGGAGAAATCTTTGGTGGAAAAAAAAAAGAGGCCAACACAGAAAACTCTCCCTTAGTTTGTTTCCAAAATCTCAGGACATAGCGATTGATGCAAGGAATTAGGATGATAGCTTACTCAGAAAGGAATAGCTGGCAGAATTTACTGGATAAAGAAGGAAAACGGGTTGTAAAGTGGATGCAATGTGAGGCATAAAATGGGTGGAAACTTAGATGTTGAAGTTAAAAGTGGCCTATGCGATTTATATGCTAGAAGAAACTTGTATAAGGAAAATCTGGAAAATTTAAGATTCCATTCCAATTAAACTGTTTAAATATAAAAGCACTAAATAAGGATTTCATAATAGCATAATGTGCCAATTTTTTTAAAAAAGATCTTCTCAGAACTTTTTGTCTTGTGTCTGTGAATTATTTTCAGGTGACTATTTTTAAATGTTTAGAATGGATACTAAACATTTTTTAACTGCCAAGAGTTAGAAAATATTTAACTTATAATAATTTTTTACTATAAAGCTTTAGAGCAAAAAAATATATCCCAGAGCAGGAAGGCATCTCAAGGATCATCTGATCCAGCCCCTCATTTTACAGATGATAAAGGTAAGGCCCAGAGACAGTAAGTGTCTTAATATCACAAAGCAAAGAGCAGCCTCAGTGGACACCAAATCCATACTTGTTGAATAATAAGCAAGTCAGGGAACAAATGAGGAATCAGTTGCTTCCTCTCCTGCAATTTAACTTGATAGAGTTTTTAAGCATTCTTTGTAAATAGAGAGCTCAGGGATAGGGAGCATTTATTATCATGGTTACTATGGAAACTTAGCTCCGACCAGATTGACAAAACACAGGTGATTGTGTGGTTCACTCACCTGGACATTACTCATTGTGTTCATTATTTAAATGTCAGTGGTATCCTCATCCTCTAGTTCCCCACACCGACATTTGTGTTTGCCACCTGGATTTCTGCTCACTGGCCTGTCCGCCATGCAAGCCCTGATTTGTGGGCTTTTTACTTGCCCCTTCCTTTCTTTCTGTTCTTCCCACTTTCTCTCTGAAGCAACCACAAATCACTCTGTTAGTATTCATAATTTACCAACCATCTTTCCTTATTGAACCTCTGCCTGGTCTCACTAGCAATCCAAGGATTGATCAACTTATTTCTCTACGGTGGCTCAAGCCTGTAATCCCAGCACACTTTGGGAGGCCGAGGCGGGTGGATCACGAGGTCAAGAGAATCGAGACCATCCTGGTCAACATGGTGAAACCCCATCTCTACTAAAAACACAAAAAATTAGCTGGGCATGGTGGCGCGTGCCTGTAATCCCAGCTACTCAGGAGGCTGAGGCAGGAGAATTGCCTGAGCCCAGGAGGCGGAGGTTGTGGTGAGCCAAGATCGCGCCATTGCACTCCAGCCTGGGTAACAAGAGTGAAACTCTTGTCTCAAAAAAACAAACAAAAAAAAACTTATTTCTTCTAAAAATTCGTCTTGCTTTTCCAAATAGGAGTTGTGGTCACTCTGTTTTTGTTCATCTTTATTATTATTATTATTATTATTTTTTTTTTTTTTTTTGAGACGGAGTTTCGCTCGTTATCCAGACTGGAATGCAATGGCACGATCTCGGCTCACCGCAACCTCCGCCTCCTGGGTTCAGGCAATTCTCCTGCCTCAGCGTCCTGAGTAGCTGGGATTACAGGCACGCGCCACCATGCCCAGCTAATGTTTTTGTATTTTTAGTAGAGACGGGGTTTCACCATGTTGACCAGGATGGTCTCAATCTCTTGATCCCGTGATCCACCCGCTTCGGCCTCCCAAAGTGCTGGGATTACAGGCTTGAGCCACTGCGCCCGGCCTCATCTTTATTATTTTAAAAGAGATCGTGGTGGCTGGGTGAGGTGGCTCACGCTTGTAATCCCAGCACTTCGGGAGGCCAAGGCGGGCAGATCACTAGGTAAGGAGTTCAAGATGGCCAATATAGTGAAACCCCAGTCTCTACTAAAAATAAAAAATTTTAAAAAGTAAAAAGAAGTCATGAAGTTAAATTTTAAAATTTCCTTACAATATTGTGATGGAGATTCAACATTAACAAATATTTCCAAACTCTGAGAATTTACTTCCTAATACAACAAAATTCTAGTACACACACTAAATTAGACCCTTTGACATGGTGGTATTTATCTTTGAACTGCGTATTCAATTTCCTTAGCGTGTTCACTTTGGAAAGTTGGTTCCAGATCCTCCATTCCTCCTCTCCCCCTTTCTCTCTGCATTTACAGCTACCACCAGACAAAATTGGGAAAAAACAGGGTTTGTTTTCAACATCTGCACCAAAATCTCACAAATCACTACTAAAGAATTTACTCATGTAAGCAAATACCACCTGTGTCCCAATGACTTACGGAAAAGTTAAAATAACAATTAAAAAAATCTTCTGCCAGCCCTTCCTGAGCCCCGCTTCCCAGATTTCTCAATTCTTTCCCGAGGGCACATCTCTGCCCGTCTCTATATTAACCGCCACAGTCTTTAATCCTGCCTTCTCTTGCACCAGTGCCCTGGGCCTTTCCTGGAACATGCTTTCATATCTTCCCTTTGTCCCTCAAGCCCATTCTTTCTTTGTTACTGTAATTCTCACTTGATATGTTATCCCTCCTGGGAATTTTTTTTTTTTTAATTTTATTTTAACAGGCACTGTCAGGAAAAAGTGCCCAAAATGGGAGTGATAGAGATTTGGGGGTATTGTGGCAGGCCAGTGAAAATAACTGGCCCTTTGACATTCTTCAGACCATCTCATTCATTTGTTCATTCATTCATTCTGTTTGATTAAAATAAATTCATTCAGTCAACCAGCTTTGCTGATGCTTAATGGATACTAGATCCTCTTCTAAGTCCTGGAGATAGGATGGGGAAGCAAAAGTATTAAACATTGTTGCCTTCTAGGAGTTTTGTATCTAAATGGGGAAGTTAAAAATTGTACCCAAATATTTAAAACAATTGCAACAGAAGACACCATAAGATAAATACTTAGGAGTGACATACACTTGACATCCTTCATTATAATACCCTGAGGAGTTTTCTAAAAATAGAAATTCGTGGGCCCCACCACCTTCTGAGAGAGGCAGAATGCGGCTGAGTAGTAAAGGGCATTTTTAGTTTGTAGAAGTAGTAGTAAATTAGTACATAGGCAGGCTTGTGTAGGAATAGGTCAGGGTAAACCCACCAGGCTGACCTCCAGGTGGGGAAGAGTGAGGCTGAATTGAAAACAGGCTGTCAGATATTCTCATTTCCTGATTTCAGTGTTCTTTTGGGCAATCATTTATGGAGTGCACCTGTTTATCATGTTCAGTTGTCTTTCCTCTGTTCACGTGGGTATGCAGGTGAGCAGCCAGAAGCCGCATGGTATCTGCACCTGGTAAAGCTCCTGATGTCTCTATCACACAGGCAGAGGACAAGACTTTCATGGCCTAGCTCACTTTAAAACTTTTTAAAACAGAGTTTTTCTCTTTCATTTTGTCCCTGAGGTACCTTTGCACATTATTGAATGCATGAGCTTACTCATTCTTATTCCTGCTGAACCTTCTCATCCCTAATGTTCATGTCACTGCTTTTTTATGTTCTGCATCAGATTGTAGCACTCAATCAGATCACCAGCTTGTGGTTATGTATCATTTCTCATTTGCTTTTAAAACATTTGAGACACTTTTTAGATACCTAGTAGTCTTGTCCTAAGATGGTGGGTATTACCTTACATGTAAATTTTGTTCTATATTTTCAGAGTTTTTTGTTTTTTGTTTTTTGTTTTAATTGAATTAGGTTCTCAGTAAAAAACTCTTTTAGGTTAGACAGCATAATAGGGTTTACTGACACTGTTTTAGAGTATGAACTTGCAGCTTAGAAACTCAGTCGCTGGCCCATTGTCCCACATCTAGTTAGCGTTCTTCTGACTTGTAAGTTCTATAGCATGCACCACTCAGTATCACTTGAGTGTTCATTCTGAGCAGCAAGATTCATACTTAAATTCCTGTTCAAACCTTTTGTATTTTATATTCTTAGATGAGCAGAGACTACCTTTCTCTGCAGGCAGTTATATATAATTGTAATGATCAGTTTATATGCTCTTGCTAGAAATTCCCTGATTTCAGATTGCAAGGAAATTGGGACAGGCTATTTTTCATAAGGGAACTCTGCCCTTCCATTTGTGATTATCTGGCACCTATGTCTGAAACCATTTCTTTAGGTGAGCATACCAAAGTAAGTTGCATCTGGCTAAGGTTTAAGAAATTTAAGTGATTTTTCACTTTTAGAAATATTTATGTTTTTAGTGTCATCTTAAAAGTATAGAAATTGGCTTATATGCAACATTGTCACTCTGCCCAAGTGAGCTGCAGGAGAACAGGAGTGGAGCTAGCCTTGTCTCTCTAGCCTCTGCCCTTCTGCCTCGAACCACAAATACAGATATCGTAACTACATTTTCCTTTTTACTTTTGTTTTTTTGAGACAGGGTCTCACTCTGTCACCCAGGCTAGAGTGCAGTGGCACTGTCTTGGCTCACTGCAACCTCCACCTCCCAGGCTCAGGTGATCCTACCACTTGGAGCCTCCCAAGTAGCTGGAACTACAGGCACTTGCCAGCTAATTTTTGTATTTTTTGTAAGAGATGAGGTTTCACTATATTGCCCAAGCCGGTCTCAAACTCCTGGGCTCAAGTGATCCGCTCACCTCGGCCTCCCAAAGTCCTGCAGTTACAGGTATCAGCCATGGCCTAGCCAACTACATTTTCATGTCCCCCACACAACCATTATAGAATGGATGTTAAGCCCTATATTGAATATGCATTTTTAAACTCATTTTCTTCATTTTGTAGTCTTGTTATATTTACAGAAGTATTTTTCTCTTTGCCTTTTCATAGTGCCCAAATAATCTCCTTGACAGGCAAAACCCTAGTACTGCTTTTGGCTGTTTACACTGTAAAAACAGGAAATTAATACATCAGGTAAATTTCACACTCCTCCTTCCTGAGCAGATTGATGGAAATTGAATTTCACATTAATCAGACATAGTAATGTACATCTTCTATCCTGTAGAAATTTATGATTTTTACTTACTTGAATAAAGTATTACAGGGTTTTTTTTGTTCACTATGCACTAATTTTTGGAGCTTTCTTCTTACCTGTGTTGCTATCTGATTTATTATTTTGTTATTTCTTCTAAAATTGTTTTATCAAGATTATTCAGTCTCAGATGTTTATATTCATAAAAGTAAAACATATATGTTTTTTGTTTGTTTGTTTGTTTGTTTGTTTTTTTCTTTTTTTTTTTTAGACTGGAGTTTCGCTCTTGTTACCCAGGCTGGAGTGCAATGGCGCGATCTCGGCTCACCGCGACCTCCGCCTCCTGGGCTCAGGCAATTCTCCTGCCTCAGCCTCCTAAGTAGCTGGGATTACAGGCACGCACCACCACGCCCAGCTAGTTTTTTGTATTTTTAGTAGAGACGGGGTTTCACCATGTTGACCAGGATGGTCTCGATCTCTCGACCTCGTGATCCACCCGCCTCAGCCTCCCAAAGTGCTGGGATTATAGGCTTGAGCCACCGCGCCCGGCAAACATATATGTTTATTACCAACAAATTATACTTTTATTACAAAAACCATCAGTAAGTGAATCTCCAAGTATTTATTGAGTACCTATCAGTGCATTAGAAGGAAACAAGTATAATGAAATATGCTGTTAGCAGAGTTGCTTATTTTAAAAGAAATATGGAATAGATTAGAATAGAAATATCAGAGTATAACTTTGTGGTAAGGATAAATATTATTTGGTGAAACTTTTACACACAAACATAAACTTGTATATTGAGTAACAATATGACTTTTTTTCTTACTGCAGGTTGCAGTCAAAAAAGGTTTAAAAGTTGTATAAACGCTTAAGAACTGTAGAAGTGGTCTCCTGACTCACTGAGTTAAGAACTTTATGATTTGCTTGATATGACCCCAAAGAGTCCGTGAGGAGAGTTAAGCATTGTATGTGTTTAACAGAAATGGATATGCAAACAGTATGATGGAGAACTTACATGAGTCACCTTTCCAAGATAAAATCCAGTGTGTGTCTAAACAGTATTAGATTTTGAACCTCAAAGCTGATCCCTGATACTATGTAATAAGTTCCAAGGTCACAGCTCAGTTCTTCAGGATAATACCTATTCATTTAGAGATAGATTTCAGAGACCCCTATGCTTGAATTCTCAACTGACTGCCACCAAAGTGTCTCCTAATGGAGATTCCTACTGGGAAGAAAATGTGGCTGGCAGTAACACCACATACAAACTCCCCTCAGTCATGTCCCCTAACATTTATAAAGTTTCTGCGAATCAAAGGGAGCTCTTCTTTAGGAAGGTCTAGAAAATAAATGAGTTCCATGAGACCAGGTGCCTTGCCTTTGCTCTTCACATACCTAGTGCTTAGCAGGTATCTTCTTGGGGCAGACATGCGTTCAGTTCAAGGGTTTGGTCAATGAGTCCTTCTCTTTAGCAGTCCTTTCTCTGACCAGTTCTTTTTTCACAAGATCAAACCTCAGAGTTTTACTTTGATCTTTGTAAGTCTTATACTTAAATTATTGACAATTTAACTTGTTAAGTATTATAATTTTGTTCCTTTCTCTTTCTCCCAAACCTGTCTTTTTAAAATTTTCATGCATAGCTGAACTTCTCTTTCCCTCATGCATTCATCTGTCTAAAGTCATTACTTATGCACCTCTTCTTTTTGCTCTTTCCCTTCCAAAAGCTTTCAGAAACTATGGTAATAAAAAAAAAAAAAAAAAAAAAAAAAAAAAAAAAAACTTCATATACCTTTGTGACATGAGAGAATAGAACAGTTCCTTTCTTCTTGAAGGTAATCTGTTGAGGTGCTGACACCTTCTATGAGGAGATCCTTTGCACTGGGGAATTTATAAAGCAGTTTCATTTAGCTCAATATAAAATGTTAAGTGAGAGCTAAGATGGAGCATTTCTGGAACTCCTTTGGACTTGTGTTTCATTTATATTATCAATTAACAAACTGTAAACGGCTTCTTTATTTTAATGGAAGTGCTTTGTTGCTTAGAAAACAACAACTGGCCACTGAGTATAACCGGAAACGAGTTCTCCGACACTGCTTTACAGAATGGCAGCATTGGCATGGTGCCGAGCTCCTAAAGAGAGAGCTCGCTCTCACAAAAGAGGAAACCAGGAAGAAGATGGATGCACTGCTGAAGGCAGCATCACTGGGGAAACTCCGCGCCAGTGGGTCATCAGGCATCAGTTTACCCAAGGAGGCAACAGCCGTGGTGGGCCCACCAGTAAGAAATGGACAGGTACATTGTTTTTCCTTTGTTTGGTCTTCCTGCTTAGTAAACACTTGCGTTCGAGGTTTGCGGTTTTATAGCTGGTATGTCAGTCACTGTCAGGTTGCCTTGTCGAGGCTGTCAAAAGATGACAGCTGCCTAAATACACAAAGGTTACCTTTCAGGCCATGTTTATTTTCTTGAACTGAATCTTCTTTTTATAATCATATATACACTTTGGCATCTTTGGAAGTTAGCAGGGATGTAATATTGAGAGGGCATTTAAAACAACTAAGTGAAATATTCCTTTAGGAACAGACAGGTAAAGCACTGTCTGTAACTCTTGGAATTCCTCTTTTTGATCATCAGACGTTTCCTTTCTAACTGAGTTTGTGACTTATAGAGGGGAAATTTAAAAATTTTTTTTCTAATAAGAAAAGTCATATATACTAATTGTAGAAATTTGGTAGAAAATTACAGAGAAAAAATATCCTATCATTCTATCATCTGTAGGTAATCTCTAATAACATGTTAAATTATAGCCATCTAGTCTTTTCTCTAAGCATATGCAAACATCTTTTCATATTTTATTTAGCTTTTAAATTTTCTTTTGCAGGCCATTGAGGAACTCTAGTCTGCCAAAATTCAGGAATAGGAAAGCCATGTGTTTTTTTCTTCTTCTTAATACTAATGTAATTACTCTGTTTTTCTAAGAAAAACCAAAAAACTGCATTTTCACAATATAACATGAGCGTTTTCTGTCATTACATCCACTTCTGCAATAGTTGTTCTCAACTTAGAGTATACCTCAGAATCGTATCTACTAAAACAGAATTTCTGGGTGTGGGGCACCTGATTTTTTTTCAAGTTCCATAAATGGAACTAATACATATCCCCTGTCTAAGGACTAGTTTTCTGTTCCACCATTTTGTAATGGCTACATTACATTCTGTAATGAACTGTAAGCTGGAATCTGTTTAGCCCCTCTATTACTGGAATTTAAGTTGTTTCCAGTTTGCTACCATTGTGAACAATGCTTCAGTGAACATCCTAGTAGCTAAATCTGCACATATCCATAATGCTTTACTTAGAATAATACCTAAAAATGGAATGCATATTCTATTTTCATCTTATTATTGCTTCAACATTTGTATTTCTTTGATTCCTAGTGAAGTTAAATATATTTATACTGAATATATACTTGTGCACAATATAGCAATGTTTTAACTAGTGACTGACTACATACACAGTGGTGGTCCCATAAGATTATAATAGAGCCGAAAAGTTCCTCTTGCCTAGTGACTTCTTGATGCTTTTGACCGTGTAGTCCTAGGCTAATATGTGTGTTTGTATCTTAGTTTTTCACAAAAATGTTTAAAAATTTTTTAAAAAACAGCCACTTTAAAAACAGGAAAAAGCTTATGGAATAAGTATATAAAGAAAGAACATATTTTTGTATAGCTGTGCAGTGTTGTGTTTTAAGCTATTACATTATAAAAGAGTCAAAGAGTTAAATAAAAGTTTATAAAATAGAAAGTTACAGTGATCTAAGGTTAATTCATTACTGAAGAAAAAAATTCTTAACAAATTTAGTGTAGCCTAAGTATACAATGTCTATGAGGTCTGCACTAGTGTATAATAATGTCCTAGGCCTTCACATTCACTCATCCAGAGCAACTTCCAGCCCTGTAAGCACCATTCATGGTAAGTGCCCTCATACAGTTGTACCATTTTTTATATTTTATACTGTTTTGACTGTACCTTTTCTATTTAGATATGCAGATACTTCCCATGAGTTACAGTTGCCTACAGTATTCAGTACAGCAACATGCCGTCCAGGTTTATAGACTGGGGCAATAGACTGCACCATATAGCCTAAATGTTTAGTAGATTATACCATCCTGGTTTGTGTCAGTACACTCTACAATGTTCACACAACAAAGTCACCTAACAATGTATTTCTCAGAACAAATCCCCATTACTCAGCAATACATGACTCTGTGTGTGTGTGTGTGTGTGTGTGTGTGTGTAGAAGATATAGATATATAGTGACTTGTTTCTTCATGCCTTTTGTCCATTTTTCTCTTTGATATCTTTTTCTTATTTATAACAGTTCTTTATATTTTTAAGACTATTGATGCTTTTATTATTATATATTGCAAACATTTTTTCCATGTTGTCATTTGTCTCTTTGGTTTAGTTATGGTGCTTGGTATTATACACAGTTGTTAAGTTTTTATTAAGTCAGTCCTGTCAGCTCTCTTCTTTTATCACTGCACTTCTCATGTTTAGAAAGCCTTTTGGAGAAGATCCTCTACCCCCTCACCTCCACCCTCCACATAATGCTGTTAAGTACTTAACTCAGACATGTGAATTTAAATTGTGCACTGGAGGGTCCCCAACCTTGCTTTTTACCCTGATTACTGCTAGCAAGTAGGTTGGTTTTAATTTAAGACTATTCTTTCAGAAAGAGGGGATCATGAGGATGCTTATTGGGACTTATGTATAACATTTTGGTCCCTTCCCCTAGGCCATTTATCTACTTTTATGTCAGATAATTTTGTCTCCATTGAGACCTAAGAAAGACTTCTATCTTAAGAAACAGCATATGAAACCTTTTATCTTACAAAATGCCACTATTCTTAAATGAAAGAAAAAAAGGTCAGCAGAAAATATTTTTTACCTGTGCAAAACAGAAAAATTACTATATATATATTTAGACTCAATAAAAAAAGCCTCCAAATCTCTGAAATCAAAATTAAAGCCTTTATCAAGAAAGGAAAATATTATTAAAAATGGAACAGATCAAAATAGAGGGCTACAATAGACCCTGTAGAGACTAGGTAAACTAATCTTTTTCCAGAGTGTGGAACAAAACATGAACAAATGAAAATATAAAATCTTTAGTTAGATGCTTATTAATTATACAATCATAGGAACTTAAGTACCAAGAATACAAATGAAAATATAAAATCTTTAGTTAAATGCTCATTAATTATACAATCATAGGAACTCATGTACCAAGAACATACAAACTGTACCTTGAATTTTTCCAAAATTATCAGTTAGCTAATAGGTAATTTTTTCTAAATAAGCCACACTGCTCACTCCTGCTCTCGAGTACAGTCTGTACCACTAAGCTTTTCCTTCATGTTCTTATTTCCATGTTAAAATGTTAACCATGATCCAAAAGAAACCCTGTCGCTTTACTCAGGGCTTTGACACAGTCTTGCTGGGTTAATAAGCTGTCATTACCACAAAGTTTAAAAGAGCCTAAAACATATACCCTGCTTGATGCTAAATTACTTAAGCAGCTGTTCTCATGAAAAAGTGTTCATTGACATTTCTGAAATAAAAGAGTACTTTTAAAAGTGTTTAAAATGTCAGAGTTTCCATATATCACATTATCACATCTTTCATTTCAGTTGAATCAATGGAAAGCATTTCTCTCTTTTTTTTTTTTTTACTATATCTCCCAAAACCTACACTCTTTGCTCTCTCTTCTGAAAATTCAAGTGTGGTTACAGAGTTGCCAAGGCTACTAAAGTTTAACCAGGGGATCCTTGTCCTCTCACCTGTCTATTTTTCTTATCGTTCCACATTATGACACTTGACAAAACTTTTCTCAGTGTGCTTGTTCAGAATAGGCAACCCCTATTGACAGTGTTGCTATTTAATAAACATAGTTTGTGTGTTTGTGTGTTTTTAATATATATACTTTAAGTTCTCGGGATACATGTGCAGAACATGCAGGTTTGTTAACATAGGTACACACGTACCGTGGTGGTTCGCTCCACGTATCAATCTGTCATCTACATTAGGTATTTCTCCTAATGCTATCCCTCCCTTAGGCCCCCACCCCCTGACAGGCTCCGATGTGTGATGTTCCCCTCCCTATGTCATGTGTTCTCATTGTTCAACACCCACTTATGAGTGAGAGCATTCAGTGTTTGGTTTTCTGTTCCTGTGTTAGTTTGCTGAGAATGATGGTTTCCAGCATCATCCATGTCCCGACAAAGGACATGAACTCATCCTTTTTTATGGCTGCATAGTATTCCATGGTATATATGTGCCACATTTTCTTTATCCAGTCTTATCCTTGATGAGCATTCAGGTTGGTTCTAAGTCTTTGCTGTTGTGAACAGTGCTGCAGTAAACATACATGTGCATGTGTCTTTATAGTAGAATTATATTCATGGTGAGCAGCAATGCATGTTTTAAGAGTGGTAGCCTCTGAGGTAGCCAGGCCAGGAGCACAGACCACTTTTAACCTGCAATGCATGGCAGTTGTGCCATTAAACAAAATAATACTGACTACATGAATGTTGGACTTCATCAGCACAGTCCTTTAACTAGTTGCGCTTTAACATGTTCCTCTCTGTCAGGTGACTGCTGTGCCCCCTTTGTGGGAAGAGTCTCCCTTGGAAAGCAGTGGTTGTATGATCAGTCCTCCCCTAGGAAGAACAACAACAGGCAACTTGCAGGGTCCCCTTCAGAATGTCCCTCTGAGTGCACCTGGCAATAAGCAGCACAAGACCCTGGGTGCTAAACCCTCTCGACAGCCTGGCAGCAACGAGAAGCCTGGAACCACCAGCCAGAAAGCAGAACGGGATTGCTTAGGTCATGTCCACAGCTGCCATGTCTTCCAGCAACAGCTGATTGAGAAGCAAAAGAAGAAACTTCAGGAACAGCGGAAAACAATTCTCGAGCTGAAGAAAAAACAGCAGCTGGCAGAAGCTCGGTGGGCAGCAGAGCACACCTCAGCAGTCACAGATGCACAGAGCCGCCTGCTGTCAAAGCCCAGAGGAGAAAAGGAACCAGCAACCTGCAAGATGCTTGTGAAGTATGTCTGTTTTATCAGAATACTCTGGACTCACTTGGAGGGGTTTTTCACTTTGGGCTCCTGAACTTCTTTGCCCTATTTCTAAACTCCATGATCTTTCCTTTTCCTTGATTTTGCGCTCTCAAAGCAAAGAAGCCTGTACTGTGACTAGCACATGACAGGCATGGATAGTTAAGGATGCCTATAAGGATCCAGTTATACAGTTAGCATTTGGGTCATGGCTGCCTTTGAGGATCTCTGTTACCATGCCAGTTAAAGAGCAAAATGCTTCCATGCTCTACTATTTCTGAGTTTCTAGCTATGTTTAATGCTGAGAAGCCAAGTCAGACAACATCAGGGTCACTGGAGCAGTCCCTGGGCTGGCTTATTTCCTAGCTTAAATTTATAGTTGTTAGGGATAAAACAAAACATCTTTTAGCCTTGCATAAGAGCCCAAATTTTTGAAAAGCCATTTAAGATGGTTTCAGATGTGCTTGAAACATACTCATTGCATGTGATAAATGGGAGGATAAGATGTGGTGACACCTATTGGTTTGAAGCATTGGGATGGGAGTCAGAGTACCTGACTCACCGTGTAGACTCAGGCCCTCAACCTTTTCCATACTTCATTACACAAATTTGTGGAGTGGGTATAATATGTAGTTATCTCAGAGGGTAGGGATTCATTAAGGTCTGTAAAAGGCTTTGAGCATCTCAGGTCAAAGGGCTTTGAAGGAAACTGGTTAGTAGTCTAAATTCTTTTCTTTTCTTTTCCCCCTAGTTCACCTGTTGCTTCCCCTGGGGCTGAAGGCAGTAGAAGTGACTCCTGGAATTCTCTTTCTGGACCCAAAGAGAAACCAAAGCAATTGATGACACCACATCCCATACTGAAAGGCAGGGCTGTCTTGGTGGTGGCCTTGCCGATTGTTATCTGCTGTCCTAGAGCAGAATGTGTACACTGGGACTGAATTCTAGCAACTCTTAGGTTTTAAGACTTGGCAGAACCTGTCCTGAGAATCTTAGAATGGTAGACATGTGCGGAGTGGAGTATGCCAGAGAGCCCCACTACTTTTTTTCCTGCCCCTTTTGCCGACATTTTTGGTATTCCCAACCAACAACAACAACAACAACAACAACAACAAAAAACATAGCTGAAAGGTGTATCATGTTTCTGTGATTTGAGATTTGGATTGTGGGGGAAAAAAAGGATAATTATACAAATGAGAAAATTCTGAGTAGCTGCCAAGGACAAACACTGATCAAGTTCACCTGTCATCGTACTTTGTTAATGTTAAAATACTGATCAGTTTATAGTAATCCAAGATAAGTTATTACATCATTTTATAATGTTATACCTTGTTGATCGGATTTTAGTAATGAAACCTACAAACCAGATAAGATGCACATAGAAACACTTACTTATTTATTTGATACAGGCAGGGTCTTCCTATGTTGCTGTCTGGTCTCAAACTCTTAGCCTCAGGCAGTCCTCCCACCTCAACCTCCCTAAGTGTTGAGATAATAGGCATGAACCACTGCACCTGGCCAGAAACCCTTATTTAAACTAAACTGTATGAATAGAAGCATTGTTCAGAACCCACCTAGTCAATCTGCTCGTGGTTTTTTCTATATACTTAGTTCCTCACTGTACATATATTTGCATGTGGTGGTTGGCACTTTGACAATTAGATTATGGTTTGTAAATTTGATTTTTTTACCTGTGGCAAGACTGCTGGTTTAATAAGAAGTAATTACAAATGAAAGACACTGTGCCTACAGTCAATTCCTGTTAATGAAGAAATTGGCAGTCTTTTCATTAACTATCTGCCAGGACAGCTGCTGTTTTTGCCTATCTTTAAGCCTAGTCAGGAAATGCCCAGTTAAGTGTGATTTCTTTTTTTTTTTAATTATTGTTTGATCAAGGAGTTAGCTATTTTAGAAGCCCAGTCTACTTTCAAGTAGTCTTTTAATGATTATATCCAGAAAAAAATGGGCAAAGGGCATATTACCAGAGACTCTGCTTCTTAGGGGTCTCTTACTGTAATCCCCTAGTCTATTTCTGCCTTCTTAGAGACAATTTCACTCTCGCCATCTGTGGCACTGCCATTCTTTTTCAGCACAGCAGACACTTAATATCTGTAAGAAATAGCCTGGTGAGTTTTTTGTTTATTAATTCTTAAAACTTGGACTTCAATTCTCTTCTCTGTAATATGGCACAAGGAACTGAAAGTAACTATTGGCTGCTTTAGGTGAGCAGAACTTGATACTCCTCCCATCCATGCCCCTCTTCCTAATAAAGCCCCAACTGATTACAGAGTCATATTATCAGACCATCTTGCACATTTGTTTCTTTTGGATCGATATTTAATATACTGTCAAGAACAAGAGTCTAACACTCAAATTCGTTCAGATGCCAGTTCTCCAAATGCCTGGTACAATTCCATTTCCTGCCCATCTGTATATCCAGGCCTTAAAACTAGATTAAAATATATTCATCGTGACCCCAAACTTAGTTTGTTGTTGTTCTTATATATACAGACATATGTATAGTGATTTAAGAAAAATTAGCCGATTCAATAAAATTTAGGAATGATTCTACCCTCAAAGTATTGGTTAGATGTAATTAAAGTTTTCTGCATTCATTAAAGGTATAATCAAATTAGAATTCTGGTTTCTGGGTTTCATATACTAAAAGTGTATCATCAAGGCACATTATAAACCGGTAAACAATTAATAAAAATGTAAATAACAATTTATAAATTGTTCATCATTGCTGAGGATGGGATAGTTAGGTCTTTCACCATGGAGTGTTATGTAAGTTCTATTTATCTCAATATATTTTCTGAGATTGTGAACATTCAACTTTTATAAGAGAACCCTAATAATAACACTAAATTTTACTATGAAATGGAGACATTTCTCTTGCAGTGTTCCTCATATTTTTTCAATATAAAAACTAATAGAACTCTGTTACTATTTTCTAGCTATGGAAGAGAGAGCGACTCAACGAGCTGAACGTAGGCGGATCTTGGCAGAGAAGAAGAAAAAACAAGAAGAAGAAAAATTGGTAATAAATTCAGAATGCAAACTGAGTCAAAACCAAAAAAAAAAGGATTTGTCTTTCTTAAAAAATGAAACCTTGCTTGTCCAGAACTCTTGAGACAATAGAGTTACACCAACTTTAGAAATGGTTTTTGGCCTACTGGCCTGAATTCTATAACAATTTTAGGAAAATAAAGGGGACAGAAACATCAACGTCATTAGCACAGCAGGAACGAAATGTTATAAAAGTTGATGAGAGCCAGCAGATTAGAAGATTTACATGTAACCAAGATTAGTGTGTTATAGGTAGATGTCTGACCTAATGAATTTGCAAAGGGGGATAATTCTTACCTGCCAAAGTTTTGACCTAGACTATCTGAAGTAAATTTTGTTAACTATCAAGAAAAAAATAAACAGTTCCAACAGTTGGGTGTTTTCTAGTGAAAAGACGGAAAACCTTTTTCCCCCTAAACTTGGAGTTAGTTTTTCACAGATGACAGTAAGAACTAAAAAGTTATCGTTTTTAATGAAAAATTAGTGATCTTATTATTTATGATCGGTCTTACCTTCACAAATAGAAAAGGATTCTTTTGGAAAAACTTTGAGATTACATAACTGATGACATGTTAGTTGAGTTTTCTATCACAAAGTACAGACTTCTTCCAGAAATAGGAAAGGCACTTTGGTAGACACTTGACTATCCTGAACATAAAGGATCACATTTCTGTTCAAACTGTTCTGATTTTTCTGGGTTCTAATCTCAATCAGGCCCAGTTAAAGGCCCAAGAAGAGGAACGTCAGAAAAGGGAGGCAGAAGAAAAGGAGGCACAGCTTGAAAGAAAACGAGAAGAGAAGAGACTGAAGAAGATGGTTAGTATTGTCTATTTGGTCAGTCCCTGTGTTGTGAGGCCTGTCGTGTGTGATGCTGTGGCCCTATCCACCCTCTTTAACCTAGAACTTCTATCTGGAATACTTTTCTCTCACCTTCACTTCTTTTCTCGATCTTATTTATGTAAAGCTACTCATTCTTCAGATCTTAGCTCAAACATGACCTTGTCCAGATTATCCTTTCCTGCCCTGCCCACCCTCCTTGCCACCTGAAGTTAGGTTTGGTCCCCCTTTGTGGACTCTCATCAAATATCTTCCCTTCAGAACATTATTGACACTTACAGTTGTGCATGTGTTTTGTGGCTGTTTTATTCATTTCTACATCCCCAACTAAACTATAATCTCCGTAAGAGTTAAGGGAGCAGTCCGGTGTTGCTCACTATTGTATTGGCAATCAGCAGATATGTGTTTAATGAGTAAATAAATGAATGAACAAATGGAAGAAGAAGTGATAATACATACAGAAATAATAATACACACGGAAGAAATGAGAGTAAGAGCTCTTACTCTAAGCTATTAAATTCTACTTGGGAAGATAAGCCCCCCCCCCCAAAAAAAAAAAAAAAACAGCCAGAGATACTGTAGTAGAGTATTTACCATCATGTGCTACATAGACCAAAAGAGATCAAGGGGCTAGACACGGTGGCTTACACCTGTAATCCCAGCACTTTGGGAGGCTGAGGTGGGAGGATTGCTTGAGCCCAGGAGTTTGAGACCAGCCTGGGCAAGATGGCAAGACCCTATCTTGAACCACTCAGCTGTGCTGACTACCTCAGTAATCTGGGTAAGGTAATAAAGAAATGGGCCTCTTGGGCAGCATCCTACACAGCTGAGGGAGCTGAGTGCTTACTGACTCTGCTCTTAATTTCCCCCATAGGAGGAATCACAGGCTGGGGGGGGGTCTCTTTTGACATTGAACTGTGCTGACTCGGGGGAGGGGTGACCCAGATAAAGTGAAACTGTTCTTACTCTCTTCAATGTGTCCAATGATGTGCTGGAACTTCACTGCCGGACTTCCACAAAGGTACTCTCATCCATGGGTACTTGTCGAAATTAGTGCTTCTGTGGGAATATGATGGTAGAAAGCTGCTATTCTGTCATCTTGCTAGTGTCTCTTCTCCATTTATTTAGATCTTTTGATTTATTTCATCAGTGTTTTAATACCTTTCCACACATCTCACATTTTGTTAGATTTGTACCTAAGTACTGCATTTTTTGGGTACTATTATAAATCATGTTTTTTTTAAACATTTGTATTCCATTGATTCATTGCTAATATAGGAGCATAATTCATTTTAATATGTTGATGTATCCTTCAATCTTGCTAAATGAACTTTTGGTTCCAGAAGTATTTTTGTGAATTCTTTGGAATATTCTAGATAGACAACCAGGTTGTCTGCTAATAAATGCAGTTTTGTTTCTTCCTTTCCAATCTGCATGCCTTTTACTTATTTATCTTGCCTTATTGCACTAGTTAGGACTTCCAGTATGAGATGGAATAGCCATGGTGAGAGAAGACATCCTTGCCTTGTTTCAGATCTAGGGGGAAAGCATTCAGTATCTCACCATTAAGTATGATGTTTGCTGTGGATTTTTCATGAATGCCTTTTATTAGATTATGGAAATTTTCATTAATTCCTAGATTGCTGAGAATGTTTATTACAAATTTTATTGAAAGCTTTTTGTATATCTTTGATACGACCATATCATTTTCTTAATTCCTCTGTTAATGTGGCACATTGATTGCCTTCCTGAAATGCACTTCACTTGATCATGCTGTGTTATTTTTATATATTGTCAGATTTCATTTGCTGGTATTTTGTTAAGAGTTTGGTTTTGGGTGTTGTTTTTTTTAATTATTTTTATTTTTTATTTTGGTGGTAGTGTTTTTTTGTTTGTTTGTTTTTGTTTTGTTTTTTTGAGACGGAGTCTTACTCTGTCACCCAGGCTGGAGTGCAATGGCATGATCTCAGCTCACTGCAGTCTCCGCCTCCCAGGTTCAAGCGATTCTTCTGCCTTGGCCTCCTGAGTAGCTGGGATTATGCAAGTGTGACACCACACCCAGCTAATTTTTGTATTTTTAGTAGAGATGGGGTTTCACCACGTTGGTCAGGCTGGTCTTGAACTCCTAACCTCGGGATCCACACACCTCAACCTCCCAAAGTGCTGGGATTAGGGGCATGACCACTATGCCCGGCTAATTTTGTATTTTTAGTAGAGACAAGGTTTCTCCATGTTGCTCAGGCTGGTCTTGAACTCCCATGCTCAAGTGATCTGCCCACCTCGGCCTCTCAAAGTGCTGGGATTATAGGCATGAGCCACCATTGCCTGTCCACAACTGGATGAAAATCTATCATCTTGTTAGCTATTTTCTATTTGTTGTACTTATTTTTTGTTTTTCTTTTTTTTCCCCTACCTTATCTGGTTTTAATTAAGCATCTTTATGATTCTGTTTTATCTTTTTTGGGGAGTTTTCATATTTACCTCTTTTAAAAAGGTTTTTAGGGTTACCATAATGTTTACATTTTTTAAATAATCTCTTTCCACCTGAGTGTGGTGGCATGTACCTATAATCTCAGCTACTTGCGAGGCTGAGGCAGGAGGACTGCCTGAGTCCAGTAGTTTGAGACAAGCCCAAGTAACATAGCAAGACCCTATCTCAAATAATAATAATAATAATAATATCTTTCCACCTTCAAATAACACTTTACATGTAGTGAAAGGACCTTCTATCAGTATTTCCCATTTCCTTCCTCCATTCCTTTTGGTATTATTGTCACATGTCATATTTTTATGTTTACTATAAATAGCCAATATCTTGTTAAAGTTATTGCTTTGAACAATTAGTTTTCTCTTAGTGGAATTAAAAATAAGATGATTAGTATTTTACCTTTATTTCTTCTGTTTCTGATGCTGTTCATTTCTTTGTGTAAATCTAAGTTTTTTACCTATATTATAGTTTTATGCCTGAATAGCTTTCTTTACCATTTCTTATAGGGTAGATCAGCTGGCAGTGAATTCCTTCCATTTTTATTTGTCTGAGAGTCTTTATTTTTCCTTCACTTTTAAAGTTTTGTTTTGTTTTGTTTTGTTTTTGTTTTTGCTGGATATAGAATTCTGAATTGACATGTTTTTTTTTTCTTTCAAAACCTTAATGATGTTAAGTGTTTTCTTGCTTGCTTGGTTTTTCACAAGACGTCTACTGTAATTCTTAACTTTGTTTCTTTGTGGGTGCCTTATACTGTTCAGGATGCCATAGTATCACAGACTAGGATTAAACAACTGCAATTTGTTTTCTCAGGCTGGAAAATCTGAGAGCAGGGTGTCAGCATGGTTGGTTTTTGAAAAGGGGTCTGGTTGGCTTGCAGACAACTTCTCACTATGTCCTCATACAACCTTACCTTGGTACTTGTGTTTGGAGAGAGTGAAGGGAGAGAGAGAGAGAACACGCAAGCATGAGAGAGAGAGCAAGCAAGCACACTATGGTGTTGCTTCTTATAAGGACATTAATTCTGTCCAATTAGGGCTGTACTCTTAGGACCTCATTTAACCTTAATTACTTTCTTAGTGGGCCTATGTTCTAATATAGCCACACTTGGGGTTAGGGCTTCAACATAGCAACTTTAGAGGGAGACAAGCATTCAGTCCATGATAGTAGGTAATGTGGGTCTTTCCCTTTAGCTACGTTCAAGATTTTTTCTTTGTCTTTGATTTTTAATAGTTTGAATATGATATATGTAGGTGTGGTTTGTTGGTTGGTTTGTTGATTGGTTGGTCGGTTGGCCTGGCTTTGGTGGTTTTAAGCTTCTTGGATATGTGGTTTTATATTTTGTTGCTGATTTTGGAATATGTTTGCCCATTATTTCTTCAAATTATTTCACCTGCCCCATTGTTTTTCTTTTCCTTACGGGATTTATTATGCCAGTGTTACATTGTTTCATATTGTCCCACAGCTCTCAGATATGCTCTTGTGTTTTTCACTCTTTTTGCCTTTTAGTTTATGTAATTTCCATTGCCCTGTCTTCAAGTTACCTGATTCTTTCCTTGGCTGTATCTTCTAGCATTAAGCCAGTTGAAGTCCCTCTTTATTACCACGTGTTTTTTTAATTTTGAATCTTTTGTTGTAGTTTCCATGTCTCTGCTAAAATTACCTATCTGATCTGGAATTATGTCTACCTTTTCATTAGAACATTTAGCATTATTTTTGGAAGTTATTTAAAATTCCATCTCTAATAGTTCAACATCTCTGTCATATCCGAGTCTTGTTCTGATGATTGCCTTATCTTTTCACGGTGTATTTATTTCTCATCTTTGGGTATGTCCTATATTTTTTTGTTGAAGGCCAGACCTGTTGTTCAGGGCAATACAAACTGCAACGTGGGCCTAGAGTTTGGAAATTTGTACTAATTTAGCCAGGAATTTGGCTATGTTTGAAACTTGTCATGGTCACCATTGTTGAGGTTTGTTGCTGTATGCTGTAGACAGCAGAGACTTTAATGTCTTCTAATGACTTTGTTTTTGCTTCCTCTTTTGGTTTTGGGTCTTCCTTTTGTGCTGTTCCCCAGAGATAATCTGTTGTTTACAATTTTCCCAGCTGTAATCCACTATTATTATTGGAAGCTCGTATAAGTGTGGTGATAGGGTGTGGATGATGGGGAGTATTCTCTGTTCTGATTAAGTCTCAGTGTTTGGAGAGCACAGCATTAGGCACTCAGAGAATTTCTGTTTCTATCCTAGGGGTAGAGCTTTTTTCTGTCCCCCTTTTCCCTTCATCTGCAGTGGGTATCCACCAGTGTCTCAGTCTGTGACCTCAAAGACCTTCCCTCTGGAGAATAAGGCTTCCCCAACCCCTAAGTGAGGTAGGGAGGACTTGTCTGAGCAGAATCCCCTGACTGCCCTTCAAACCTCAACAATGGTGACCATGGCAACAACAGTAAATGCAGTGCTATTCTGTCAGTGCTCTGGGTGGTTGCCAGGATAGATAAACCTTTTGTTTCCTAAGGGAGGATGCTCTGGGAAGATTTTGCAGTTGCTGTTGTGCGTCTCCCCAGATAGAGAGCCATGGGGGAACTTTCTGTGGATTCTCCATGATTTTCTCTGTGAGCGTCCGGTGTGGTTTCAAGAATAAAAGCGTGCAAAGGGGTGAGAACCACCCCCATGACTATGATCCCCAGGAGCTTCAACCTTATGCTGCCCTACTCAGTCTGTTTCCATCAGTTCACCAAAATTTCTAGTTTAATTGTCTAACTCACTCATATGGTATCCAGCGGCTTCTGCCTCAGATAAACAAATGCTTAGGTCCTGTGCTTCCCTGAAGATGCCTGTCTCTCCAAATTTTGGGGTAACTTCCAATCTCTGATCAGTTCACAAAAAGTCATTAATTTCTTGCATGTCCAGCTTTTTTCTTGTTGGAAGAAAACTGCTTGTGCAAAACAAGAATGGTGAAAAATACATTACTAAGAGATCGTTTTCTTTCTCTCACTGTACCAACCCCAAATGTTTTCTTTTTAGAAGCTGCAGTTCATAGCAATGGATAAAAAGATTTTGTCACATAGACTAGTTTCCATTTCGTTAGTCAACTGGAGGTATCTAAATTGAGATAGATGAATTTATAGGCTGGCTATGCTTGAGTCTTGGACAACTTTAGATCTAAAATGCACGTGCCAGTTGTCTCCTTTTCCTTCTGGACAAAGATGCTCTACACGATGTGCTTCTCCACTCAGATTTTACTGGGTCTTACTCCTTTTGATGCATCAAGTTCTACCAAGCAATTCTGTACTTCCTTAGCTACTTTATATAGCGGTTCCCAGTGAGCAACCTCGAAGGCCATAGCAGTGTTATTCCTCTGGATATCAAAAAGATAATGGCACTTCTCAACAAGTGCCTTCTGAGACTTCTCTGAATCATTGCATCCTAAATGTGTTTGGTTGAACTCTGCTTAACCTCTTTATCTGGGCAGTTTTTTTGCTCATTGAGTGTACCAGCAAATTGTCCAACAGAGGCACCATGTTTTCTAATGACACTGATAACCCTTTTGTTGATATGATAAAGAAGGTCTCTGGGGCAATAAGAATGTATTTCTTTGGATAGATAATATGAGATAAGCCCAGTTACATGAGTATGGGGTGCTATGACACCATTTTAGATAAAGAAACTGGAAGAATCCCTCATGGATAAGCCCCCATGACAGACTCGTCCTCTATATTCAGCAAGAGGTGGTACAGGGACAAGACATGGCTACAGCTTAGTGTCCCCAGACCCTGCCAGAAGAGCATGTCAGGTGCCACAGTAAGATGGCCACTCAGAGGTCTCATACAGTTACCTTCTGAAAATAAAAAATCTAACCTCCTCTTAATACCCACCTCTATGTTTATTAAATGCTTATACTTAACAGGCAATAACTTTTGTGGCTATATGTACTTTTGATTGATGAACAGTTGAAGTTTGTGATTGAAAAGATAATTTTATCAGAGAAGAAGAGGCAAGATTTAAAGTTTTCCCTAATTGCTTATCAAGCATATTTGCACATTGAACAAATATCTGTAGAGCATTTACTACATGATAGTCATTGCTCTAGATGTTAGAATGTAGCAATGAAGAAAAAGATAACAGCCCTGCCCTCTGAAAGCTTATATTCTAGTTGAGTAAAACAGGTCAATAATCAAGTTAATGACTAAAGAAGTAGGGAGAGAGTGGTACAGCTGGTGGAAGTAGTATGGGAAACGCCTTTCTGATACTTGAGGTGATACTTGAGCTCCTGGATGCTTAGGCAGCCTCTGCAGTGTCTAGTGGGAGCATGTTAAATGTGAGATACCTATTAGACATCCAAATGAACATGTCAAATATGTCCTTGGGTATATAAGCCTGGACAAGATTGTGTAAGGAAGTAAAAAAAGCAAGTCTATGTGTTTAATGCTCTGGAAGTACCTGGAATCAAGTTGGGAGATTGTCTGGATAGAGTAGAGATGAGAGTGCAAGATCAAGTCCTAAGGACTATAAATAGCTATTCAGAGGATGAGGAGCTAGTGTGGTAGAAAGGAAGTTAGAATCAAAACACCAAGAGAAAAAAGTATTTCTGTTAGGGGAGTGGTGGGAGTGGCGAATTTGGCTAAATGCTGCTGAGTTCAATTAAAAGTAGCACGGGGAAGTGATTCTTTGATTTGGAAGCCCGGCAAGCATTCATGACCAAGACAACAGGGCTTTCAATGGTGTGCTAGGAAAGGAGTCTCATTCCAGTGGGCTGAGGAGAGAATAGGTGAGGAACTAGAGACCATGAATATAGATGCGGAGCTCATGAGGTCAGAGCTCCGCATCTATACTCATGGTCTCTAGTTGTTTTTTATTATTTTTTGATTTTGGTTTTGGTTTTTTTGAAGAGGAGAAATACTGGCACATGTTTGCATACTGATGGTAATAAACCAGTAGTGAGGGAGAAATTCATGACACAAAAGAGCAGAGTATAAATTACAGGAGTGGGTAAGCAGGAATATATTCTAGAGCACAAAGGGAGAGAAGCATACAAGGGACAGAAGGCCAAGAGTTTTGGGGCAATGTCAATTGCCCTGTACTGTTTTAAACATAGCTGTAATTTCTGGCTTATCTCTTAAAGCATACTAGCTGATAAAGCTATACATTTATTTCAGAAAGAAATCTAGATTTTATATCCCTTTTTCGCCTGAGTGAACTATGTGTTCTATGAAACCCTAGCTATATAGGTCCCCACTATAAGTGCTATCTCAAAGCAGCAGCATCTCATGTAATCCTCACAGTAAATCATGAATTCAGGTGCTATTAAAGATATTTTATATACAAGGAAATTGAAAATGTGGTAATATTAATGAAATACACCCCCAGCCCTGTTGAGGAATCCTTAATAGAGGAAGGAAATGCACATTTGAATTAAATTGCTGTGTAAGAATACAACATTTTGACTCAAGCAGAACTCATGTTTTTCTTTATATTTTTCCATGGAACTGTAGACTCTGAAAAAGTCTGGTTTTCCCCACAATTCACCTGAAAATAATTTTCCTTTTGGAGCTGATAACACCAGCCATAGTTCTCATTCTAGGAGGATAGTTACACGATAGATAACTTATCTGTGCTAACTTACCTGTGCGTGGAAACAGGTTCTTTTGTCTGAGCCTGAGGGCTTCTCCAAAGGTTGTTATCTGGGTTAGATGTCTGTCTGCAAGATGCAGCTGCTGCCTTGATGCAACAGGGACATTTCAGTGGATGTGGGAGGGTCAGTTTGTTTCCCTCCCCACTTAACCCTCAGCTTCCTCTTACTACGCATGAGAAAATTGTTGTAAATTTTCTCACTGGGCATTTCATTCAAAATGTATCTCAAGTGCCTGGAATAAAGAGTATAAAGCTTATTTTGGTTTAATGTCTAAGAGAATATGGACATTTCATTTTTTAGAGCTTGTACAGAAATAGGCAGTTTGTATAGGAAGATTAGAGTGATTCTCTCTTCCATATTAGAAATGTCCCATTGCTCTCTATAATGTGTCTCTCACAGAAGGTTCAGACACGTTAAGTAGCTCGTTAGGATCATCCAGTTCACCACTGCCCTTTTCCTGATGTGAAGTCATCTGAAGTAAAGGAAATGAGCTTAAATGAAATGTTTTTGCATTTGTGCTGCAAAGATCACAACTATGAAAGCAGTCTTCAGTCTTTGTTGCTCTTGTGTCTTTCACAGCAGGTGTAACTTGCTCCCACTCGCCCTTTCTGGGCAGATTTCTTTTTCTCTCACCTTCACTATAAACTATTTTTATTAAAAGATAAAAAGGAAATAAAAGAAATAATGCTATCTATAGGGTCAATCATTAAGTTTTTGTCATCTTTCTTGGTCACACCCCTCAAGGGTTCAGTTCTTTAAGGGTCATGGAGTGTCTTTTCTCAGTGTATCACCAGGAATAGTTCTTTCTCCTTCTTAGAAGAGGGAAGGTGGCTTAATGATGATCAAAGATCTTTAACTTGCCTCGGGACTTATTGTTCATCACTTAAAAAGAAAAATAGCTTAGTAGTAAGAATATTCTTCTAGACTTTTAATGGAGTATCATTAAATCTCTAGCCCATAGTTTAAATGAAGTGGCTGTATGGCTTTTTCATAATAATGAGGGGAAAAAATCCTGACTGCTCTTCTAACTAGATATTTTACCTTTTAGTAACTTGGTGAGAGGTAAATTATTTCTGTGACTAATACTGAATAAACCCAAGAATATGCATAGCCCTGATTCTTGTAGACTCATGACCAACTTCTGACCCTCTTAGCAGAATTATTTCCTTTTTTTTCTTTAAAGAAAAAGCTATATCATCCAGAGTTCTGTTATCATGATTAACACACCATGTTCAGTGGTTATGTGTTCAAATTAAATTCATTAGCTTTTCATTGAAATGAAACTCATTTGTTTTCTGATCATAGCATTTTACTTTTTAATTTTTTTGTAGAAAGAACTAGAGAAGCAGAAGAGAATTAAGAGGAACCAGCAGCTGGAAGCAATAGCCAAAGAACATTATAAAGGGGTCTTGCTAAGGAAAAAAGGTCTAGAGCCTTGGAAGAGATTGAGAATGCAAAGCAAACAAAACCTCCAGGTAAAGTGTCTCACTGTTACTCCCCAGATTAGAAAATTGACTTTTTCAAATAGGATGGATGCCCAGTTAAACTTGGGGGAGGGTGGGGTTTGGTGATTTAAAGCCAGAAAGATAAATTAATTGAATGTGCATATTTGTTTTGGATATAATTTTAGATTTGGTCTTCTAAGATAGAGAAGGACTTTTGTAATTGAATAAGTTGTAAAAAATGAGAGGAAATTTTTTATTAGAGATCCCCAAGGTAGGATGAATAGAAGCTTCTCTCAGTTTGAGTTAAGGGAAAAGTTATTACCATAAGGTACATTAGTCAGGTTTCTGCCTGTGATAAAGTTGCGTAACAACCCCCAAATATCAGTGGCTTACAGCTGAAGTATTTATTTCTCACTCATATGTCTATGGGCCAGCTGTAGATTGGGTTCAGGTCTCTCCCCAAACCTCTCATTGTGGTTACAGCAGCTACTCAGGGCATGCTATTCGCCTGGCAGCTGTCAGAGCCACAAAAGGCCAAACCAGATTATATAAACCCACTGCTTGTATTATGTCCAGATATTCTATTGGCCAAAGCAAATCATAGGGCCAAGCTCAAAGTCATTGAGAGAAGGCAGCTCCATCCACTTTACAGGGAGGAACTATGAAATCACATTGCAAAGGGTATGGGTGTATAATTCTATTATAGAGAATAGTAATTCACTCTACTGCAGAGAGATATGTGAAATCAAACACCACTGAAATTTCTAGTATTTCCCTAACATTTATCCAGTGCATAGAACAGGGCATTCAACTAAATGATAAAAAAAAATTCTAGCAGGGTGCAGTGGCTCATGCCTGTAATCCCAACACGTTGGGAGGCCGAGGCAGGTGGATCAGAAGTTCAGGAGTTCGAGACCAGTCTGGTCCATAAGGTGAAACTCCATCGCTACTAAAAATACAAAAATTAGCCAGGTGTGGCCACTTGGGAGGCTGAGGCAGGAGAATCGATTGAACCCGGGTGGTGGAGGTTGCAGTGAGCCGAGATTGTGCATTGCACTCCAGCCTGGGTACCAGAGTGAGACTCCATCTGAAAAAATAAAAATAAAAATAGATAAAATGTTATCTCATCTTTTGGCTCCTAGTCTGGGATGAGTCCAGGACAGGCAGAAATCTCAGGTGCCACAGAGACTCCATGGTGGTCATTTTGGCCAATAAATATGACTGCCAAGAGACTCACTTGAATCAATCACAATCACAGTGCCAGATACCTAGACAAGGCTTAGAAAATCATTGGAGAGGACTAAGACAGAAAGCTTTTCTCCTCCTGCCTCTTAAAGAATATAAGTTACTTTTAAAAATCTATAAACTCTGATTTATTTGATAGAATGATACTCAGTTGAAAAGACATTAAATTATTCATGTTACTTTCTGTCAGATGGTTTTGTGGTTTATTGATCATGTCTAAATTTCAGTGGTGGTGACGGCTCATTCCACAACACTAATTGAAAGTATTGGCATTTCCTTAATTAGACAGTGGTTAAGTCAGGAGAGAGAGGTTTGTTGTGGAGTTGCTGTCCAAGCTCCAGGAGAGCAAATCAAGAATGTTGCCAGCCACCCACTCCAAAACTCAGCGGAAGTGAAGTGATGGCTTAGAGGTTGTATATTCCATTTCCATAACCAGCCAATCACTGTGATCTGCAGGGAGTTGGTACTGAAAGGCCATGCATAATATGAATCTATAACCTCCATAGAATAGGTCAACAATCAAAGCTTTTAGGACACAGGCTGCATGTACCTTCAGATTCGTCTCTAGTGACTGCCTAAATGTGTTTTATAGCATCATTTGCAAAGGTGGTTTCTTTAAATGTTTTAAAATTTAAGGAATAATATTTTCCATTTAAAAAATTATCCAGGTGGCAGAAGAACATTACTCTTTGTTCCTACAGAGGAAATATCTGCTGACCTGGTTCCAGTGTAGTCAGGAAAGTCTGGCTAGAAAGATGGCCCAGGCTGATCAATTTTATTCCCAAATACTGCTTAGGAGAGTCATCTGGAGCTGGCTAGAGGTAAGGACATAAGGAAGGGTACCTTAAATACATCTCATTGCTCAATCCTATGTAAGAAAACTAAATGGAATCCAGAATGTCCAGGGTCATTATGTTTTTTGTTTGTTTTTGCCATGAAGCCTCCCTGACACCACTCTGAATCCTTGATTGTCCCTGTGTACCACTTTTAGAACCATTTCTGAGAAGATCCATTGTCTTTGAGTCATTTTTTTTAATTCTCATAATTTTTCTTTCTTGGTTGATTTTACTTTAGGTGCATACTATATCTGGCATTCCTCCCCATGTTATCCCTCCCCACCCCACATTGTCTCTCCCCTAACCCCCCCACCAACTGTCCCGTGTGTGATGCTCCTCTCCCTGAGTCCACATGTTCTCGTTGTTCAGCACCCACCTATAAGTGAGAACATACAGTGCTTGGCTTTCTGTTCTTGTGTCAGTTTGCTGAGAATGATGGTTTCCAGATCCATACAAGTCCCTACAAAGGACACGAACTCATCATTTTTTATGGCTGCGTAGTATTCCATGGTGTGTATGTACCACATTTTCTTACGCCAGTTAGAATGGTGATCATTAAAATATCGGAAGACAACAGATGCTGGAGAGGATGTGGAGAAATAGGAACACTCTTACACAGTTGGGAGTGTAAATTAATTCAACCATTGTGGAAGACAGTGTGGCAATTTCTCAAGGATCTAGAAATAGAAATTCCATTTGACCCAGCAATCCCACTATTGGGTATATACCCAAAGAACTATAAATCATTCTACTATAAAGACACATGCACATGTATGTTTGTTGCAGCCCTGTGTACAACAGCAAAGACCTGGAACCAACCCAAATGCCCATCAATGATAGACTGGTCATTATGTTTTTTCCAAGAACAAAAGAGTAGTCAACTCCATTCACTGCTTTGAAATAAATGTGAAAATGGCAAATCAATTTTTATTAGTATAAATTCCTAAGCATGTGTTTGTTTCACAAAGTGGGTATAAACTGTAAGTTATCATTCCATGACCTTTTGTTTTATACTTCTTGTCTCACAGTGCTCAAGCAATTTAGAAACTTACCCCTTCAGTTTTATAATTGTTTTTACTCCTGTGTTCTGTTACCATTTTTAGAATACATTATGGAGGATATTATCTTGGCTGCCAGGTTACCCTTTTTATGTCTCTAGTATCCTTTGTTTATTTTGTTTCATTTCTGTTTCAATTTGGTGTCTTTGTGCTGTTTATTTGCTCTAATTCTTTGTCAACTGATATTTTTTGTCTCACTTTTATTTCTGTCTTCATCCCCAGTACCTGATTGATCTGCAGGAAGAAGTAAGAAAATTTTATGTACATTTTCTTCAGAAGAAGATTTTCAGGGCCTGGTTTAACATGGTCAGGGAGGTGATGATCGATTCTCAGGGCAAGCATGAGATTGCAGCAGAGCACAGTGACAGGTAAGGTTTTCATCTTGAAGAAAATTCACTCTCTGACTTCACAATTGCTCAGCAATATATTCTGTTCCTACAATGTGTCTGCAAATATGAGCTGGGTAGGTGGAAATACCAGACAGGGGTGGGAGTCCCAACTCACCAGCAAGGTAGTTAAACCCCCTGGGACTCCAGGGTTCCCGTATTTAAAATGAAAAGGGGGAGGAAGAGGAGGCCTGCCCTTTCTACTTTACAGAAACTGGCAAGAGAATAAAATGATGTGAACTACATAAAACATACCTAAGCAAAAATACTTTACTCTGTTACTCATATAGTTTTATTTTTTAAGTTCAATTTCTCTTTATTATTTATTGTGGAATATAATACAAATAAAGAAAAGTGCTTAAATCATACAAATACAGCTTAATGAATGACTATAAAGTAGACACCTTTTGCAACCACCACTGAGGTCAAAAAGTTGAACATTGCTGTCACACAGGCTCCTTCCCCAGTCTCCCCTAAACTACTCTCCTGATGTTTACAATGAACATTTCCTTTTCTTTTTACTTTCCTCCTAGGTATGCAGCCTTCGATGCTATAGTTTTTCCTGGTTTGGAACTTTATATATATGGAATCATTCTATATGTCATATTAATGTTTAAAGTGCAGTTATGTTTTATTTAATCCAGTTGTCTTTGAGAAATAAGGTATTCTGTATAAATAAGTTTTATATCATGCAGTCAGCATTTCTCAATAACTTTAAAAAAAAGTTATATTTGTTTGCTAATTTTAAGCATTTGGACAGAATGTTCTTAATTTCATTATGCACTTCCTTTAAAAGTAGTGAGTTGGTGTAATCTTTGAGCATTAGTTAGCGTTCAGTGATGCCTCTAGTTTTTTTGAGGTATGAAGACTGTTGTGTGGGTATGGAAAAGTGCCTCTTTTCTCAGTCTTGCTGTGTCACCCAGCTGGAGTACAGTGGTGTGATCTTGGTTCACTACAACTTCTTTCTCCTGGGTTCAAGCAATTCTCATGTCTCAGCCTCCTGAGTAGCTGGGATTACAGGCATGCACCACCACACACGGTAAATTTTTGTATTTTTGTGTTTCACCATGTTGGCTGGTACTGTTTTGTTAATATTTGTGATGGATAAGCTTTTTGATTTGCTGTTGCAATCGGTTTGCCACTATTTTATTGAAGATTTTTGCATCTATGTTCATCATGGATCTTGGCCTGACATTTTCTTTCTTCTTGAGTCTCTGCCAGGTTTTGGTATCAGGTTGATGTTGGTCTTGTAAAATTATTCCCTCTTTTGGATTGTTTGGAATGGATTCAGAAGGAGTGGTACCAACTCTTCTTTGTATGTCTGGTAGAATTTGGCTGTGAACCCATCTGGAGCTGGGCTTTTTTTGGTTGGTAGGCTATTAATTGCTGCCTCAACTTGAGCCCTTGTTATTGGTCTATTCAGGGTTTTGACTTCTTCCTGGTTTAGGCTTCGGAGGATGCATGTGTCCAGGAATTTATCCATTTCTTCCAGGTTTACTGGTTTATGTGCATAGAGTTGTTTGTAGTAATCTCTCATGGTGGTTTGTATTTCTGTGGAATCTGTGGTGACACCTCCTTTATCATTTGTTATTGCATCTAATTATTCTCGCTTTTCTTTTATATTAATCTGGCTGGGGTCTATTTTGTTGATATTTTTAAAAAACCACCTTCTGGTTGTATTGATTCTTTGAAGGGTTTTTTGTGGCTCTGTCTCCTTGAGTTATGCTCTTAGTTATTTTTTGTCTTCTGCTAGGTTTTGAGCTTTTTGATCTTGCTCCTCTAGCTCTTTCAATTTTGACGATAAGAGTCTCAATTTTAGATCTTTCCTTGTTTCTCATGTGGGCATTTATTGCTATATATTTTCCTCTAGACACTGCTTTAAATGTGTCCCAGAGATTCTGGTATCTTGTGTCTTCGTTCTCGTTGATTTACAAGAACATCTTTTTATCTGCCTTCATTACATTGTTTATCCAGTCAACATTCAAGAGCCAGTTGTTTGGTTTCAAGCTGTGCGGTTCTGAGTTAGTATCTTAATTCTGAGTTCTAACTTGATTGCACTGTGGTCTGAGAGACTGTTTGTTATGATTTCCATTGTTTTGCATTTGCTGAGGAGTGATTTACTTCTGATTATGTGGTCAATTTTAGAGTAGATGTGATGTGATGCTGAGGAGAATGTATATTCTTTGGATTTTGGGTGGAGAGTTCTGTAAATGTCTATTAGGTTTGCTTGTTCCAGGTCTGAGTTCAAGTCCTGGATATTCGTGTTAATTTTCTGTCTCATTGATCTGTCTAATATTGACAATGGAGTGTTAAAGTCTCCCACTATTATTGTGTGGGAGTCTAAGTCTCTTTGTAAGTCATTAAGAACTTGCCTTATGTATCTGGGTGTTCCTCTATTAGGTGTGTATATATTTAGGATAGTTAGCTCTTCTTGTTGCATTGATCCTTTTACCATTATGTAATGTCCTTTGTTTCTTTTGGTTTGTTTAAAGTCTATTTTATCACAGACTAGGATTGCAACTCCTGCTTTTTTTTTTTTTTTTTTTGCTTTCTATTTAATAGCTTGGTAAAATCTTTCTCCATCCCTTTATTTTGAGCCTATGTGTATCCTTGCATGTGAGATGGGTTTCCTGGATACAGCACACTGATGGGTTTTGGCTTTTTATCCAATTTGCCAGTCTGTATCTGTTGATTGGGGCATTTCATCCATTTATATTCAGGGTTAATATTGTTATATGTGAATTTGATCCTGCCATTTTGATGCTAGCTTGTTGTTTTGCCTGTTAATTAATGCAGTTTCTTCATTGTATTGATGCTCTTTACCAAAAAAAAAATTTTTGCCTTTTCTTTTTAGTGTTATAAGTTTTTGCATTGTAGTTATTATGAGGCTTACAAAAGATCTTAAAGATATAACAAGTGATTTTAAAGAGATCACAACTTATCTTAGATCACAAATAACTTATCTTAGATGACAAAGAATAGAAACAGAAAAAAGGAGGCCAGGCATGGTGGCTCACGTCTGTAATCCCAGCGCTTTGGGAGGCTGAGGCAGGCAAATCACGAGGTCAACAGATCAAGACCATCCTGGCCAACACTGTGAAACCCCATCTCTACTAAAAATACAAAAATTAGCTCAGTGTGGTGGTGCATGTCAGTAGTCCCAGCTACTTGGGAGGCTGAGGCAGGAGAATCACTTGAACCCGAGAGGTGGAGGTTGCAGTGAGCCAAGATCTCGCCACTGCACTCTGGCCTGGAGACAGAGTGAGTGAAACGCTCTCAAAAAAAAAAAAAACAAAAAAAAAAAAACAAAAAAAAAAACACCTCTATACTTTATTCCCCAACATTTTGACATTGTTGTCTTAGTTTACATGTTTTATATTGCCTGTCTCTTAGCAGGTTGCTGTAGCTATTACTGTTTTTCACAGATTTGTCTTTTCAGCTTCATACTAGAGTTATGAGTTGATAGCATATCACAATTACGGTATAAGAGTATCCTGCGTTTGTTCATGTACTTAATTTTACCAGTAGGTTTTCTACTGTCAACTATTTTCTTTTTGTATTAGTGGTTTTTTTCTTTCAGATTGAAGAACTAACTCCCTTTATCATTTCTTGTAAGATGGGTCTGGTGGTGGTGAATTTTCTCAGCATTTGTTTTTCTGAGAAAAACTTTCTCTCTCCTTCACATTTGAAAGATGGCTTTGCTGGATACTGTATTCTTGGATGGCAGCGGTTTTTTTTCTTTATTCTTGCAGCTCTTTGAAAATCTCATCCTACTCTCTCCTGGCCTGTACAGATTCTGCTGAGAAGTCTGTTGCCAGATGAGTTGGAGCTGCTTTATATGTTATTTGCCTCTTTTCTCCTACTGCTTTTAGGATCCTCTTTGTCCTTGATGTTTGAGTTTGGGTCAAATCTGTTTGGTGTTCTCTGACCTTCCTATACCTGGATATTTCTTTCTCAAGTTTTGGAAAGTTTCCTATTTTTATTTCTTTCCATAAGCTTTCTACCCCTTGCTCTCATTCAACTCCCTCTTTAACACCAATAATTTTTAGATACAGTCTTCTGAGGTAATATTCTGTCTCTTGTAGGCTGTCTTCATTCCTTTTCATTCTTCTTTCTCTTCTGATAGCGTTATTTTCAAGTAGCTTGTCTTTGGGCTCACTGACTCTTTCCACTGCTTGATCCATTTGGCTGTTGAAAATATCTAATGATTTTTTTGGTTCAGCAAATGTATTTCTCAGTTTCAAGCTTTGTTTAACTTTTAAAATCATTATTAAATTTATCTGAAAAATTTCTGAATTACTTTTGTTATCTTGGAGATCACCGAGTTTCCTTAAAAGTGCTATTCTGAATGTTGGTTAGAGAGTTTACATATTGGCTTCTCATTAGGGTTAGTCACTGATTCCTTGCGCTTTGTCAATTTGGGAAGGTCATGGTTCCCCCATTCACTGTTTTGTTTTCTTTTCAAGATGGAGACTTGCTCAGTCGCCTAGGCTAGAGTGCAGTGGCACAATCTCAGCTCACTGCAATCTCCGCCTCCCAGGTTCAACAGATAGAGTCTTGCTCTGTCACTCAGGCTGGAGTGCAGTGGCATGATATCAGCTAATTGCAACCTCCACCTCCCAGGTTCAAGCCATTCTCCTGCCTCAGCCTTCTGAGTAGCTGGGACTACAGATGTGTGCCACCACGCCCAGCTAATTTTTGTATTTTTAGTAGACATGGGTTTAACCATGTTGGCCAGGCTGGTCTCAAATTCCTGACCTCAGATGATTCTCCCACTTTGGCTTACCAAAGTGCTGGGATTACAGGCATGAGCCACCATGCCTGGCCAACTCACTGTTTCTTGTGGGTGTCTATGCCTTTGCACTGAAGGATTATTTGTTTCAGTCTTACCTGTCTGGCTTGTTTGGTTTTCATTGGGTATGTTTGATCAGAGATTGTAATTTACTTGTTTAATTTCTTTTTTTTTTTTTTCCTCCTATGTA